CTCGTCATTCGGTGAACATCTCATCGTGTACATATTCATACCGACTCATCTGTACATTTTCATATACCGACGACCCAGGTAAGAATTTACGATAGAAACAGAGCTCATCAAGCCCTGGACCAAGGCTCGGAAATGCTCAATCAGGGCTGGGGCTCAGCCTTGGATCAATCCTCCTTCAGCCTTAAAATGATAATCTCGTTTCAGGCTTAGTCCGCAAGGCTTGAACGAGGCTTGGTGCCAAGGCTTGATTCAAGCCTTGAATTACCATATTTTAAAGGCTCAATCGAGCTTCGGCTAAATAAACTGGAGTATTGTTTACAGATATTTGTATAAACAATTTCTTATTACTTCATAACCCTTTTTATGAATTTAGAGTAACCTATGAAAGAGACTGCGGTCGGACCGTACATCATTGTTGCTAAGCATTGTTGGCGATTGTGATTGTCGGTTAATTAACAATGGATGGGAAAAAAATTATTATCATCATTAGTTTCTATTAATTATTCGTCCTGGATTATTACCGCGCAACTGGAAATTGAAATACAATGAAATCAAACATTTAAAAATTTGCTCCTCCTGGGGTTCGATCCGGGGTTCTTCTGATACGTAGACAAGCGCGCTATCCACTGGGCTACCTGCAACTTCTTAGGATCAACTTGTGTTAGTGTTATTGTGTTATTTTGTTGATATCCTAATTAAACCTAAACTTGAATAAATGATAGGTCCGATGGATTTATGAGTTCAGAATCGATTGATTAATTAATTATAGATAAGGATAATAATAATTATGTAGCCTCGTGCACAAAGAGCTGCTCTAGGCCTGGCCTGGGGTTAGCTTAGATAACTTGGCGGAAAATTATAGCTATGTTTGTAGATGATGATAATGTTTTCACCACCATTAGCTGATGAGTATTGATATAAAAATTGAGGAAATTAATCGGAAGTAACTTTAATTTTCGAGGCCTTGCTGAGCCTTGAATAAGCCTTGACGTACTGAGCCTAAATACTGAAAGCCTGGACTAGGCCTGAATTGAGTCTCGCCAATGGCCCCTTTAATCATCCTCATTTAAAGCTCAAGTGAATAGTAAAACCAAGCCTATCCCAGGTCTGAATAACTGAGCCTCACCAACCCTGGGCTCATACAGGCTTGTTCTCATCGTCAGCCTATGTAATTCTTATCTGGGTATAAACTAATTACTAGTTTGCAACTGTTGCCTCGCGTAGTTGATTCGATACTTTCCTGACCCACAACTACATCGAATCCTACATTGGTTCCGATACCGGGAATCGAACACGGGTCGCCCGGGTGAGAGCCGGGAATCATAGCCACTAGACTGCATGCAGGGGGAAGTGTGGCGGTGGAGCAGGAGCTATCACAATAGACCGGACATTGTCTTGATGACCTTTGGTCCGAGGGTAGTCTATGTGATTGAGGTTTCTGTCGCACATCCAGAACCTGAGGCAGCAGGAAGATTTGAAGAGGCTGAGGTATGAGTTCAACTCGGAAGTCCACGGAACACCTGCTAACATGAACAACATTCGCAGAGGTGAGAATCTCATGGGCCAGCTGAGAAGGGCTCACGGGGGTGATGCGCAGTTGGGTGTGCTTGTTCCAGATGCACTTGGCGAAGTCGTCAGAACCCCTGAGTTGGCGAGGTTCATGAGCCTCACTGAGAGACTTGGGGTACCGTCTTGGAGAATGGAGACGTGCTTGAAGAGGTGTGCCTACAGTGTTGCTTTGACCACATGCAAAATGCTCGTGAGGAGGGCTGTGGAAGCTAGCGGTGCTGGGGCACCTGCAAAGGAGACTCGACGACAACGGGCGAGGAGGGGCGAGAGGGGGGCCTTTGGGCCTTAGCGGGGGGAAAAGGGAGACTGGAAAACTGCATAACCTTTTTTGAGATGAACGGGATGACGTGTTTGCCTTTTTGTATGTAAAAATGACAACTATTATGTATGTAAAAAAGGAATTGTAGTGGAGTATGGAGGAGTGTCCATTGTGGCATACTTTGTATTCTTTTTTCTGTAATAAAAATCTATTTCTAGACTACGTCCACTGGACTACGTAGATCACGTCGGAGTCACCAATGTAGGATTCGAGGTGGTGGTAATTAGGGACGGTATCGAATCAACCACGCGAGGCATAGGTTGCGAACGAGTAATTAGTTTATTGTCGGTATATGAATATGTACAGATGAATCGGTATGAATATATACAGAATGAGGTGGAGATGTCCACCGAGTGGCAAGAGCCACATGACTGCCCATTTGGGAGCTATCGCGACACCTGAGATGTCCGTGTGTTTCTCAGGTATGAGTATGCGAGCGCGGTGAAGTACGCATCTCTCGGTAGATGTAGCGAGGCGTTACAAGAAGACTAATTATGTGTAAAATTTAATGGCGAACATTTTTTATTTAAACTACTTTAAAATAAAACTGTTATGAACAAAATAGCGCCTACGACAATTTGCAACAACCGACTTTAAGTTCGGATTCAGCACCATCAAAAACGTAAATTCCAATTATGAAGAAAACTTTATACAGGGTATCCCATCTGAAAAGATGCGGCTAAATATCTCTCAAGGGGGGCGGGTAACAAAAAAAATGTTTGATACAAAAATTGTAAGGTTTCGAGGAGGACTCCGATGTAGTCATTATTTTGAGCTTTCAAGCTCACGCTTGCAAGCTGCAAGCATAAAGTGCTTTTTTTCAAATGGCAACCGCATTTTTTATCGCGATGAAACTTGTTCGTCTTGATGAGCTGTTTTCATAAACCTCGCCATTCATTTAATTTTATCTCATTTTACTCGAAAAATGCCATCAAAAGAGTTTTGTGGCCAAATTGAAGATTCAGACTTCTTTAGCGTGAAACGGAAAAAGAGAAGGAATACAGTTCCTGATAGAGGAGAGTTGTCATTTTTACTTCACCGTATATTCATTATTGAAACATGTAATTCACCCAACAAAAATAGTAGCTTACAAAAATTGTACGTAACAAGTGCGATTAATAGTAAATGTTATCGAAATACGAGTCATCAACACTGGCGTAATAATCCAAACGTTTCCTAAAACCGTGGAATACCGTGAACAGTCTTTTTAATGTTGTTTATCAAATTTTCGATTGTTTTTGGCTTGCTTGCGTAACAAGAATCTTTAATAATCATACGGATTCAAATCTGATGAATAGGATGGCCAATCTATTCCCCCTCCACAAAATTTTGGATATCCCAAACCAAGAACTCGACCGCGATAAACTGTATTAAGAATTTCAAAAACTTCGTGAGTACGGTGGGGAGCTGCTCCAACTTGCATAAAATAAAACCCATTGACAAGCCCTCTTTTTCTCGCATGAGGGAAGAATTTTGTTTCTAACATTCTTTTGTACTCATTCCCGGTAACGGTAGATTAGAAAAAATGTACATAGACACCCTTCATGGAGAGAGCAGCCCAAACAGTGACTTTCAGTGGATGAGCAGATTTCGTAACCAAAAAATTAGGGTTTCAGATTCCCTAAATCTCAAATTATTTTTGTTCACGTAGTTGTCTAGCCAAAAGTGTGCCTCGTCAGAAAAAACAATTGCTGTTTCATGCAGCTCGCCATTTTCGAACATTTGTGTCATTCTTTCACAAAATTTCTTTCGTCTCAGAATCGCCTCCTCTGTCAAACGCTGTCACATCATTATTTTATATGGATGAAGTTTCAAAAAAACGTGGAGGATGCGATGCAAAGTAGATTTGGTCAATTTTGAATCTTGAGCGACTCTCCGAATGGACGAGTTGGGTTTTGCCTTGAAATACTGTTCAACTTCATCCACCTTCTCCTCTGTTGCAGCAGAGAATGAGGGACCTGGAAGAGTAGCTCTACGATCATCCAAAGTGCCGTATTCCTCGAAATTTTCAATTATTCTAGAAAAAGAATATTATCATGACTAGAAACCAACGGGATTTGTACGAAAATCTGTAATGTATTTTGTTGTGTCACACAATCAATATGAAAAAAAAATTATTCTAACCTCCCCAAAGTGTTTTCGCTAGCAACTCGTTTGGATCCAAATTTAGTACGAAACCCTCTAAAAGCTTCACAATATTTTTTCCCTCTCGAATAGAAGCACTCGATGAGATATCTTTTTTCTTGAATTGTCAAATCACTCATTACTGCTAACAAACTAAGGCTCCTGCCACAGTTGGAATAAAACTCACTGGCCCCTAGTAAACGTAACACAAACGTAGAGAGTCAAGGTTATTTTGGATGAGTCGGCAGATGAGTTTAGTTTTCACACATACCTATGGGACATCCTGTATATATGTTCGAGCAGCGGCTCGATACACTCCCCACACTCTCCCAAAACAAGTAAAATATCGACAATTTCACTGGCTGAATACATCGTGATGTGTTCAATGAAATAATAAGTGATACTAACTTGATTCGGGTTGAATTGGCACTGATTAGAATAAAAGAATCCTCGAAGGAGTAGGAAAATGTTTTGTTTATTGTTTGCATTTGATAATTCCGGTGTGTAAACAGATCAACAGAACAATTACACCAAGATGCGCCATGGATGTTTGAATCCTGAATTCGACCACAGAACTCGTTTTTGTGGCATTTTTCGAGTAAAATGAGATGAAATTAAATGAATGACGAGGTTTCTGAAAACAACTCATCAAGATGAACAAGTTTCATTGGGGTAAAAAATGCGGTTGCCATTTGCAAAAAAGCACTTTGTGCTTGCAATCTGTAAGCGTGAGCTTGACAGCTCAAAATAATGACAGCATCGGATGTCCCCCTCGAAACCCTACAATTTTTATATCAAACATTTTTTTGTTACCCGCTCTCCTTGAGAGATATTTAGCCGCATCTTTTCAGATGGGACACCTTGTATAACTTATTAAAACGGTATTTTCCTGACAATTTTAGTGGAATAGCCCAGATAGATTGAATAGGAATGAAATATTTTATATCATCCTTCTAGAGCTAAATGAAAAAATTTTCAATGCTTCCAGGTGAAATCCGCGTAGGCAGTAGATACCAAGCCGACGGTATTGCGCCGTTTCCTCTAACTCAATCCGAACGCGAAGCCGATCCTCGTCGCCTACAAGACTTGGAAACACTCGTTTGGACGCCTCGACACTCCCTAACAGACCGTCAGATCGATCAATTCCTAGTCGTCTCCAGATCAGTGGGCACATTTGCACGTGCCTTGGACTGTTCTTCCTCGGTGAAACAGCCCTCCCTGCACATGTCGGCAGCGGCCGCCTCCAGAGACATCACCCTGTTCCATGCGATGGACACCCTTCATCGACATAACTACGACCTTGCCAAAGCCATGTCGTCTTTGGTCCCACTCTCTGGCCCAGTCCTCTGCAGAGACGAGATGGAGGAATGGAGCGCTTCAGAAGCAAATCTCTTCGAGGAAGCTCTCGACAAATATGGAAAGGACTTCTCAGACATTCGTCGGGACTTCCTTCCCTGGAAAACATTGAAAAACGTTATCGAGTACTATTATATGTGGAAAACAACCGACCGTTATGTGCAGCAAAAGCGAGTAAAGGCAGTTGAAGCAGAGAGCAAATTGAAGCAAGTCTACATCCCGAACTACAACAAGACACCTCCAGCTGCCCCGACAGGCGGAGCAACAATAATACCTTTAGGTAACAACAATACTAACGGCAAAGGAGTTAGTATCTTAAATGGCAGTAGTAATGGCAACATCACTGACACCAGCGGAATGTTAATGGTTTGTAGTGATTCGCTTCTACTTAGATTGTAGTTGTCGATACATGTTATCAGTTATAATACCACGAGAGCTTCAAAATGATCGGATATTTCCCGATAGTTTCATTACAAACAAATGAGAGTGTCATGTTTTGCAGGTTAAAAAATCCCGAGCGCTTACGCTCGTTTGTATACAGGGAAGCTTGAGGGAAATACCCGATTTATTTTGAAGCTCGAGTGGTATTCGGCGGACTATTTCCTTTTTTAGAATTTCGACCAAAAGAATTATTTGCGAATATTTTCTTAGGTGTCATGGATAACGGGATATAACCGAAAATTATCAGCTATAATACCCCTAGATCTTCAAAATTATCGGATATTTCCCGAATGTTTTGTTGCATAGCAACGAGAGGGATCAGTTTTGCAGATTTGACTACAAAGCTGATCCCGATCGTTGATTTGCAGGAAAACTTGAGGGAAATATTCGATGAATTTGGAATGTCCAGGGGTATTCGGAGGACAATTTCTTTAATTCTGATTTTGGCCAATCAGGGTGCAGTGTTCGGGCTTACGGGACACATTTCACCAAAATGTGAGGAATATCTGTCAAATTTGTAGAACAAAATTGACAGGCTACAGGGAAATTATCAGTCTGAAACGCGCCACGTTACTCCGAATACTGCACTCTGATTGGTCTAAATCAGAATTGATGAAATTGTCGAAATAATACCATGTTACTCCCCCGAATGCAATGATTCTATTGGTCGAGATTCTGAAGGCGGAAATAGTCATAGTTATATACTACTATTTGTTTTGTATATTCATATTCTATATATGGAATTTTCTTATAACAACAATATTAGGTATTTCATGCCAAGTCAATCAACCCGTTCAAAAGTGAACCGAGATTGCTTACAGAATTGATGGACGTAGTCTCTAATCTGCTCACCCTACGCGACTCAGCGAATTTGGTCACCTCCACGGGAATGTACCGCCGTGTTATTTAGGCTTTAAGGGGTAACGGAATCGGTCGCAAAAGTTTGTTTTTTTCATCCCATTTTTCTCCGATTGTATCCAATATAAATGGTTGAAATTTTGACCAAGTCTTGAGGGCAGCCTGAGGGAGAGCGTCTATCTATTATTTTTCAGATTTTTTGCAAAAAAAATTTCAGAAAAGATAACGACACAGCTCACGTTACCTTTTTTACCGGAAACTGTAAAATGAGAAGTGACAAAAACGTTTTTTTAGAGACTTATTGTTGTCTATCGCAATTTTCGGGAGATAGTTGCCCTCAAGGATACTCTAATACACTTATTTTGAGTAGAAAGACGTTTATCCATGCCGTCATTTTTGCAAATAATGGGTTGAAGTGTTTGGTGGAATTTCAAGGAATAACCAATCCTATACAGGACAGTAATTTCAGTAGAAAGTACTTTTTCTGATCAGTAGATGGCGCGGAAAGCGTTGGAAATTTTTGTCAAGCAGGTCATGGAGGGTGTATGTGGCTATCAGCAGTGTTATGGGCATGGTAGAATGTTTCCATACCATTATTATTTACTTATATTTGATGGGATTTTGTACTTTTCACGTACAAAATCCAAACACTCCCGGGAACCTGTCTCGTACATTGAAGATCGATTATACAGGATGTCCCATCTGAAAAGATGCGGCTAAATATCTCTCAAGGAGGACGAATATCAAAAAAATTTTTGATACAAAAATTGTAGGTTTTCGAGCGGGACATCCGATGTTGTCATTATTTTGAGCTTTCAAGCTCATGCTTGCAAGCTGCAAGCACAAAGTGCTTTTTTGCTTCCGAATGGAAGCTTTGAAATCATTGGATTTTCACATTTTCTAATTTTGCTTGGAAACGATGTAGAATAGTCTGAAACGTAAAAATACGAAGTTTGGACACCGTGTGGGTCTGTGCTCACGGTCATCTCGTGGTCATTTTTACGTAAATTAAACGAATAGAAGGCTAAAACTGTTCCAAAAAATTTGAAATTTTGTCAGATATTTGGTATTGAATTGGAGTATCTCTGTGCCAAATTGTAGCCCGATCGGTCCATTTGTTTTTTAGAGAGAGCAATTTGTATTTTTATCGTTTTTCGTGAAAATTAAAAAAAAACTATTGGACCAATTTCGATATTTTTTTTTTCAAAATGTTCGTCTTGATGTCCTCTATCCGAGTCAATCAAAATATGTGTACCCGTTCATACAAAGTTTTCGACATATTTTGATTTTTACGTTTTTCATAAAAAAAAAGCTTGTACGCACTCTACCCCTCGCAAAAATCGAGATATCAACTTGTTTGTAATGTCCTTCCTTTTCTTCTAGTATTCCTATCCTTTTCTAAATATTTTTTCGCCATTTATTTATCCCTTTTCGCTTCCGAATGAAAGCCTTGTATTTGAGCGATTTTTCAATTTTCTAATTTTGATGGCAAATGGTCTAGAATGTTTGAGAAACGTGAAGAAATGATGTTTTTAGGGTCATGTCTGTATGTATGTGTGTGATAACGTGGGTTTTTGGTGATCAATTTTTAGATGATTCAACATAAATACGGTGAAATTTGTCGATAAAAGTCTGAAATTTTGGCTCATGGTAGCTATGATTAAGCTCCACTTTAGTACGCCGTTTCAGCCCGATCAGTCCAGTAGTTCCTGAGATATAACAATTTCTTTAAATTTCGTTTTTCTTCAATATCTCAAAATCTACCCCACCGATTTCAATATTTCTTTTTTCAAAATACTCATCCCGATGCCCTCTATCTAGATTCAAATATATATGTATATTGGTTCGGACAAAATTTGAAGATATTGCCGTTTTTCCGTTTTTTAATGAAAAATCTTGTTTACAACTTGATAAAAAATGGAGATAGGGTGTTAAAATTTTGTATGCTTCAAGCTTTTATAACATAAAAGGTTCAATTGTTCGAGCGGTTCTTGAGTTATTCAACCTTTTGTGTAAATATATTTCTTCAAATTTCTCATAAACTACTCGACGGATTTCATTTTTCTTTTTTCAAAATACTTGTCTCGGTGGCCACCATCTAGCTCAATCAAAATATGTAAGCCCGTCCATACAAAAAATCAGAGATATTCCCGTTTTTTGCTTCCCAAGGGAAGCATTGTTTTTGGCCGATTTTTCGATTCTCTAATTTTGGTTGCAAATGGTCTATAACGTCATGAAACGTAAAGAAATTATGTTTTTAGGGGGGTGTCTGTATGTATGTGTGTGTAGATCCGGGTTTTTGGTGATTCAATTTTAGAAAATTCAACATAAATACGGTGAAATTTGCAGCTAAAAATTTGAAATTTCGGCTCATATCTATGAATGAGCCTCACTTTGGTGCTTCGTTTCAGCTCGATCGGTCCAGAGACCGATCACTAGTTCCTGGAAGTAGTTCCTGAGATATAATCACTTGTTTAAATTTCGTTTTTCCGCAATATCTCGCCAACAACTGCATCGATTTCAGTTTTTTTTTTTCGAACTACTCGTCTCGATGGCCTCTATCTAGATCACTCATCTCATATATACCGATTTGTGTAAAGTTTGGAGATATTGCCGTTCATCCGTTTTTTCATAAAAAACCTTGTACGCACGACAAGTCAATAAAAAACGAGCTAGCGACTTGAATTCGGTATGCTGCTAGCTTTTGTAACATAGACGGTTCGTATTTTCGATGAGGTCAATCGGTCGAGCGGTTCGCGAGATATTCAATTTTTTGTGAAAATCTATTCTGTCAAATATCTCGTCAACTACTTGACCGATTGAAAATTTTCTTTTTTCAAAATATCCATCTCGATCGCTACTATCTAGATCATTGAAAATATATATACCCGTCCATACAAACTTTTGGAGATATTCTCGTTTTTCTTTTTTTTTGTTTTCTCATTCTTGTGCGGTTGATAACTTGTGACGGAAAAACGATATTAAGTTGAAATATGGTATATATATCTCTCTCATAATACCAAAGGTCCGTACTTTAAATGGACGCCATCGGCGCAGTGGTGTGAGACAGATTAATTTTTTGTATATATCCATTTCAGTAAAAGGTAAAAATTTTTTTTCCGTACTGCTTCCCACGATTTCTCGTCTGGGAATTGGTATAGCATACTTTCCAAACTTGAAAAATTGAAAATCACTACGGAAAAATATTTTCCGGGCTGCCGTTATGTTTTTTTTACTCGGGCGGTTGGTCTGCCTCGCCTTTGGCTCGGCTCAATAACTCCGCACGTACTACGTTTTGAGCGATACAGATGAAATCACAAGAAACTATTGAATCAGAGTAGAACAACAGACTTTTATTGACAAGGGAAGTGAGAAAATGAAAGGATTCTCTACGTGGAAATTGACAATAAAAGATTGTTGATTCAATATTGGATTTCGTTGGTGAATGTCATTGAATGGTGATGAATGAAATGGTCGTTTATATTTCCATATACTTCCCTTCGGAAGCTTACTACCANCCTTTGGCTCGGCTCAATAACTCCGCACGTACTACGTTTTGAGCGATACAGATGAAATCACAAGAAACTATTGAATCAGAGTAGAACAACAGACTTTTATTGACAAGGGAAGTGAGAAAATGAAAGGATTCTCCACGTGGAAATTGACAATAAAAGATTGTTGATTCAATATTGGATTTCGTTGGAGAATGTCATTGAATGGTAATGAATGAAATGGTCGTTTATATTTCCATATACTTCCCTTCGGAAGCTTACTACCAATGAAATTGGAAGAAAAAAAAAGGAGAAAAGTATAATAAGAAAAAAAGTAATGGTCATTTGCCTTCTGTCGGATAGGAGTTCTACCCCTGCTTGTTTTAAATTTTTTCAGTCTTGTACACACGATATTTTGAGAAAAAATGAAAATAGTAAGTTGAAATTTGGTGTGATTATAATACAAGATTATTGATAATTTGGATTCTATAGAATATTTATACTCTAGAGATATTCCCACTTGCGATTCAGAGGATTTTACGAGAGTCAGAACTAAATTCTAGTGGTTGAACGATA